GCTACCGCTGCGAGGACTGCGGCAAGCTCTTCACCACGTCCGGCAACCTCAAGCGGCACCAGCTGGTGCACAGCGGCGAGAAGCCCTACCAGTGCGACTACTGCGGCCGCTCCTTCTCTGACCCCACCTCCAAGATGCGCCACCTGGAGACTCATGACACTGACAAGGAGCACAAGTGCCCTCATTGTGACAAGAAGTTCAACCAGGTGTGTGGGCACCGCCCGGGGCGCCTCCACCCTGCACACTGACGGGCGGAGGGGGCCCTCGAAGACACAGGCTTAGTGGGAAAAGTAGGTGCTGAGTAGAGCGTGACCCTCCCCAGGACAGAGCTCTGCCCGAGAGGGTGAGAAGGTGGGTGAAGTCAGGATGGGGTTCAGACCAGAAAGAAGTGGGGTGGGCATGGCTTCCCTCTCACTGCTAGGATCTGGAACATTCCATTGGCCTTAAGCAAAGATGGAGCCATCCACTGGCTCCTGGGAGGACCCAGAATCAGTTGTTCCCTGGCGGAGGGGCTGCGGATGGGGCCCAAGGCCACACTGTATGGGGTGGCCTTTCTGACCCCTGCCTGGCACAGGTGGGGAACCTGAAGGCCCACCTGAAGATCCACATCGCGGACGGGCCCCTCAAGTGCCGAGAGTGTGGGAAGCAGTTTACCACCTCAGGTAGGGCCAGGCTGCCTGGCTGCCCCACACCCTCCACTCCGCGGCCACCTCCTGATGCCCCACACCAGGCCCCCGGTCTGTCTCCACAGGGAACCTAAAGCGGCACCTTCGGATCCACAGCGGGGAGAAACCCTACGTGTGCAACCACTGCCAGCGGCAGTTCGCTGACCCCGGCGCTCTGCAGCGGCATGTCCGCATCCACACGGGTGGGTGAGCAAGCCCAGCGGTGGGAGCCTAGGAGCTGGGGAGGGCACACGGAAGGAGGAGAAGTTGGCGCTAACATCTTTTGCTGCCCGTCCCCAGGCGAGAAGCCATGCCAGTGCGTGATGTGCGGCAAAGCCTTCACCCAGGCCAGCTCCCTCATCGCCCACGTGCGCCAGCACACTGGGGAGAAGCCCTACGTCTGCGAGCGCTGCGGCAAGAGGTCCTGCCCCACCCATGCCCAGGGTGCTCTGGGGTCCCCACACTTTGCAGGGTGAAGGGGTTCAGAAAACACACTAGGGCTCAGTTGCGAACCGGGCCGACTGCTGCCTGAGCCCAGTCCAGTTGGCCCGTCCAGTCTAGAAAGAGAGGCACAAGGCCAGCCCAGCTCCCCTGGCCCAGGCTTGGGCAGTTCAGGCCAGTCCCTCCCCTCTGTGGCCCTGCAGATTTGTCCAGTCCAGCCAGTTGGCCAATCACATTCGCCACCATGACAACATCCGCCCCCACAAGTGCAGCGTTTGCAGCAAGGCCTTTGTGAACGTGGGGGACCTATCCAAGCACATCATCATCCACACTGGTGAGTGTGTGCCCGCCTGCCGGTCCGGCCGGTCCCATGCCCTGATCTTGCTAGGCGGAGAGAGGGAGGCACCCCCAGATTGCAGCGTGGGTACTGGCACTTGGAACAGGTGGCTTTGAAGGCAGTTCAATTCAAGGGAGGACCCCATTTACTTAGAGCTTCCAGAAGGTGCAGGGGCCACTGGAGGCTCCTGTGCAGCTCTGGTGGCTGCCCCCG